TCTGGTGTCCACAGTTGAGATGCCATGGAGAGAAGAAGAAAAGAAGAGACGGCATTGGTGAGCACATCGCTGGACTCGGCAGCTACACTTTTTGTGGCTGTTGACTTTTAATGAACACAAAAACAGCTGGAAATCTGCTTTAAAAGCCAGCAGCTACAGTATTCTCAATTTTGTTTGGCTGGAACTCTGCTTTACATGACACCTTTGCTATAGGTGAAGGCCAATAACATACCTCCCAAAGCCTGGCATGAAAACTCCCAGAGGTGACATCCTATACCAGGGGTTAAAATTTCACGTCCCGACCTGCTAGCCGGTCACAAAACTTACTTTTCACCAGTTACCCCACCCAACCTTGCCCAGGTCCGCCCCCCAACCCCACCCCTGGCCCGCCCCAATCCCCACTCCCGCCCCCAACCACGCCCCCTTAAAGCTTATGAAATTACATTTTTCTTCACAATAGTCCAAAATATAAAACTGTACACAGTAATGTATATCCCCCCCCCTCCCCTGTACTCCATTATAGTGATATGACGTGTATACAGTAATGTATATCCCCCTCCCCTGTACTCCATTATAGTGATATGACATGTATACAGTAATGTATATCCCCCCTCCCCTGTACTCCATTATAGTGATATAACGTGTATACAGTAATGTATATCCCCCCCCTCCCCTGTACTCCATTATAGTGATATGACATGTATACAGTAATGTATATCCCCCTCCCCTGTACTCCATTATAGTGATATGACATGTATACAGTAATGTATATCCCCCCTCCCCTGTACTCCATTATAGTGATATGACGTGTATACAGTAATGTATATCCCCCTCCCCTGTACTCCATTATAGTGATATGACATGTATACAGTAATGTATATCCCCCTCCCCTGTACTCCATTATAGTGATATGACGTGTATACAGTAATGTATATCCCCCTCCCCTGTACTCCATTATAGTGATATGACATGTATACAGTAATGTATATCCCAGCTCCCCTGTACTCCATTATAGTGATATGACATGTATACAGTAATGTATATCCCCCCCCCCCCCCCCTGTACTCCATTATAGTGATATGACATGTATACAGTAATGTATATCCCCCCTCCCCTGTACTCCATTATAGTGATATGACGTGTATACAGTAATGTATATCCCCCCTCCCCTGTACTCCATTATAGCGATATGACATGTATACAGTAATGTATATCCCCCTCTGTACTCCATTATAGTGATATGACATGTACACAGTAATGTATATTCCAGCTCCCCTGTACTCCATTATAGTGATATGACATGTATACAGTATGTATATTCCCCCTCCCCTGTACTCCATTATAGTGATTGGACATGTATACAGTAATGTATATCCCCCTCCCCTGTACTCCATTATAGTGATAGGACATGTTGTATACAGTACTTACTATCCCCCCGAGTCCCCCGCGGCGGTGCAGAGGGTGTCTCCTCTCAGCGGAGGAGAGCGGACCTCTCCTGCACCTGTCCCCTCAGCAGCGGTGCCGCAGAAGCCGGAAACCGGAAGTTGTAAACTGTAACTCGGCTTCACAATGAGGCTTGGAGCGCAGGTGCAGTCGCTCCATGCTTCATCTGTGCTCGCCGCAGAGGAATTTCTCCTCGCATTTGGCGAGCGGCTTTTTCAAGCCCTGTCCTATACTACCTTGTTGCTAAGATCCTTCTCTCATGCGGTCTCTCTCCTGTCGCAGTAGCTGCTGCGACGGAGGTGACAGTGGACCGCACATGTGCCGAGGTTACCATCTTTGGTTTTTCGACCAGGCTTCAGGAGGTACACAAATGGACTACACCAATGGCAAGAACATTATTCAACTTAAGTCAAATCTGATTTTTTTTTTTTTTTTTTAATCTACAGGCAACCCTGACCTTCATAGGCAGTTTTTTTAGTAAAGGTGGACTAACCCTTTAAAACATTACAGAGCAGGTTCTCGCACTAAGTCTGATTTTAATTTTCAATTGGTGTGTGGCAATATAAAGAGACTCCAGGTAATTACAATGTCGGATTTATGATTTTAGGTTTTAAGGAACAAAACAGTGTATTAAAGTAAGTTTTTATATACTTGCCCGGAGTCACTTTGTAAAGGTTGCAGAATCACAACCAAGGGCAGAGACAAAAGTTAATTTGCTAAATGTTTATCGGCAGAACAAAGATGAACTCTATAAACAGGGAAGAAGTGGAATCCTTCATATAGGATGTGCGCTCCATTTCCTTGTTTACAACGCGGATCTAAATATTGCTTTCTTCACGTGTCTAAACGTGACTTGAATAGTTTATGATTTTATTGTAACCTAAAACACATGAATACACAGCTTCTGCCCACAAATGACTTAAGGTGGCAATGCAGTTATTGCAGATTACTGATCCAGCACTGCTTCCTCCTCCAGACAAGGATCACACTACAACCTCATATACAACTCACTGATCCACACGTACTTCCACTAGCTGAAAAGGCTCACACAGTCCCCTTGTATACAGATTACTGCTCCAGGGCTCTTTACCCATCTGACAAGGCTCACACTATCACCTTTATCCTGCTGATCCAACACGACTTCCTCCTCCACTATCTGACAATGCAAACACTACCACCTTATATACAGATTACTGTTTCAGCACTGCTTTCTCCTCCATGATCTTAAAAAAAAGATGCACTGTCACCTTGCTTGCAACTTGCTGATCTCCACTGCTTCCTCCTCTGCCATCTAAGACAAGACCCATTGTCACCCACTATACAGCTTACTGATCCAGCATTGCTTCCTCCTCCACTATAGGACAAGGCATGCACTGCAACATTCTATACAGTTTACTGATCCAGCATTGCTTCCTCCTCCACTATAGGACAAGGCTTGCACTGCAACATTCTATACAGTTTACTGATCCAGCACAGCTTCCTCCTCCACTATAGGACAAGGCTTGCACTGCAACATTCTATACAGTTTACTGATCCAGCATTGCTTCCTCCTCCACAATAGGACAAGGCTTGCACTGCAACATTCTATACCGTTTACTGATCCAGCACAGCTTCCTCCTCCACTATAGGACAAGGCTTGCACTGCAACATTCTATACCGTTTACTGATCCAGCACAGCTTCCTCCTCCACTATAGGAGAAGGCATGCACTGCAACATTCTTTACAGTTTACTGATCCAGCACAGCTTCCTCCTCCACTATAGGGACAAGGCACACACTGACACCTTATACACAGATTGCAGATTCTGCACTGCTTCCTCCTCCACTAATGCCGGCCATAGACAGTTCGAAAATCGGCCGATTTTTCGTCCGAAAGATTAATCAGCCGATTTTCGCACTGTTAGTGGGTTCATTTGGCCGGTTTTCGCGTTTTTTTCCACTTTTGGATTATCGATCATGTTGGAAAATTCGTGGAAAACGACCGATTTTCACGTCAATGATGGCCAAATTGTATGATCGTTTTTACGAAAAAAGATATGCGCATGAGCCGTGACCTGGAAGGAACAGAAGTTTTGCCTGTTATATGGGGTGAACTTTATGACTTGGTTGGACGATTTTCGTAATTGTTGGTGGTTACATCCCGTTTATTGGTCGAAAAAACGCACGGTTTTCGAGCCGTCTATGGCCTGCATAACTGACAAGGCACATGCGGTCATTTCTTCCTACTCCACTAACCGACACGGCAAAAACCGTTGCATTATAAAACATATTTGTTACTTTCCCATTCAATCTGCAGTGCTGTAATTTTCTGTAAAATTCAATGCAATATGGCAACGCCTATAAAAATTAAATTTCCTGCTTGTTTGACTGGCTTTAGTCAGGCATTGTCTAAAACAGAATTTATTTTTTATTTTTTTGTGGAATACTCCCTAAGGGCTCGTTCACACCACGATTTCTGATTTTCGGAAGCATTTCTGATGTATTCTAGTGCATGTTTGATGCATTCTGGTGCATTTCCCCTTTTTTTCTACATCTCAATTCAGCACATGTGCATTCCGATGTGTTTTGCCACGCTCCAGATACGTGCCATACAGAAAAAAAAAAGCAGAATGTTTTTTTACTGGAACGTATTACACTGGTGTGAACTAGGGCCACTGGAAAACATGGAAACCACTGCGCAGGCTTTTTCGATGCAGATTAAAAAAAAAAAAAAAAAGGCACAAGGCTTTAATCCACATCTGTATGTGCATTTCTGCTACTATTTTTTTACCGCACCAAAACGTGCACCAAAAATGCAGCAAGCAGAACTATGAAAGCTGCAACATACCCGCAATTGATAAAGAGTTCCATAGGATTTAATGGTCCTGTGTTTTTTTCTTCTGCTTTTTTAAAACGCAAAAACGGAAGAAAAAAAATCAGTGTGAAAGCACCCTAAAGGATGAGGACACTGCTCACAGACTGCACCAGGTGATTATAATTAACCAGACCCTCCCATTCACAATCAATCTGCATAGGATGTGGTCAACCCAACAGCTATTTCTTCAGAGCAGAAACAGGTAGGAATCTGCAGTAAAGGGTGTTAAAATCTTGCAATGTACACTGATCACCCAGAGGAGATTGTTTTTTCTCTCAACAAAAGTGGAGCGGATCATTAAATATATTTTTCAGAGTGTCACAGAATACGACGGCTTTATATATCTCCTTACCGATCTCTGCTGGTAACTGTTTGATCTTATTCTCCCGGATGCTCAGCATCGTTAGCTTCGTCAGGGTTTTAATGTCCTTCTCCACAGTAGTGAGACGGTTAAAGCGCAAAAATAGCGTGGTGAGCGAGCTGAGCCGATACACCACCGGTGGGATCTCTCGCAGCTTGTTATGCCGCAAGTCAAGCATGCGCAGCGTCTTCAAGTTGTCCAGAGAGTCCGGCAGGCTGGTTAAAGAGTTCTCACTAAGCGCCAGCGTTACCAAGTTCACCAGGCAGCCCACCTCCGCCGGCAGCGATGGCAGCTTGTTACCGTATAAATAAAGTTCTGTTAGTTGTGTGAGCTCCTTGATGGAGGCCGGGAGTTGGTGTACAGACTTTTTTGCCAAGTCCAAGCGAGTAGAGTTCTCTTCCCGGCATTTGTTCAATTCCTTGATCACCTCAGCATTGCTGGCCTTTTTGCGCATTCCAGGTGCTGGATTAGGACGTTTTATCGTATTGTCCACGGAAAATGCCACCCCAGGCTGCGCCCCGCTGGCATCTTTCTTCCCTTCTTTGGCATCTTTCACTTTGGTCTTAAGATCCTTGTCTTTGCTGTCTTTAAGAGTGCCACCAGAGGCCTTGGGCTCCTTTTCACGGTCCTTTACCGCTGCAGGCCCCTTCGGCTCTTTATCTTTGGGGTCCTTCTCTTTACCCACACTGGTACTCATTATGCAAGCCTGTAAGCCAAGAACCTCATGAACTCAGAGTGGAAAGCAACACGTGGTAAAATCCTTGGTCTCGGGAAGGAGTAGATGCAGGTCAGAAATAGCCCTCTGCTACATATTGAATCCCGAGGGGTTCGATGAGCAACAATCCAAGCAGGCAGCCAAATACCAAACTAAGCGCTCCAGGCTAGATCATCTGAAGTAAAAACAGAGAGAAGATTATAAACTAAGACAATACAAAAAGGTGGAGGACATGTACATTAAAAAAAAACAAAACAATAAAAAACAAACCATGTACCAGACATTTAAAAACACAGACACCTAAGGACCATCCCACCTAAATAAGCTTGCTGGCTGTTCATTCCAAAACCACTGGCATTAAAATGAAAGCAAAAAAAGTGCATTTGCATTTGCCATAATGTGCAAGTATGTACAGGATACTCGCACAATATGACCCACTTACCACTGGGTTTGCCAACCTCCAGCAATGTGAGGTCCCAGCTTCATACATTCACTCAGATGACATGTCCTCTTCCATTTATGGGTCGGCCACCTTCTTGTTTTGCACACTGAGTAGGCTCTTATATTGTAATTCCTGCGCTGGATTTACATTACCCCTGTACCTGCCTCCATGCACCGCAGTCAAGAGAACAGCTTTAAAATATTTGCTATGTCCTGTGAAGGCCACTCAAGTTCCTCCACACCTAACCACGCCTTGTCTAAAATATATCTTTGTATGTCGCATAAACGGAAACAATCTGAACTAAATGAATGTGGGGGGGGGGTCCACATACGTTTGGTGCTGTCGGGTATATGTGATATGTGTAGTTACAAAACCTGAGCAAGTTACTTAAAGTGGAAGTAAACCTAAAATTTTGTATCTTTTACCTACTGGTAAGCCTTTAAAGTAGGGAAGCAGCGAAATTTCGGCCACCAAAACGTATCGGTCAAAAATAGCCATATCAGCATTTTGCCGACAGGAAAAATTTAGCCGATACAGGAGACTGTGTACTGCAGATGATGGGGGGGTGGGGGGGGGGGGGGGGGGGGGGGGGGGGTCCATGAATCTACAGTAAGGGAGCCTCTCTGTATACCCTGCTCCCTCACTGTATAGACTGCTCCTCTCCTGCCCCCTTGTTGCCCACACTGCCCCCTACAAAGAGGGCCTGTCACTCATATGCCATCCCATAGGGGACTATTGGTCCCCTATGTGATAGCAATAAAAGTTTAAAAAAAAAAAAATAAAATATATATATATATATATATATATATATATTCACTTACACTTACATAAAACCATTATAACGAAACAAAAAGGTTTTTTACTACATTTATACTTTATCCCCGCCTATACTTAAGTACAAAAAAAAAAAAAAAACTTAATTAAAATACTTGTTTCGTTTCAAGTGATGCACTGAAATGAAACTTCTGGTGCCGAAATTGAAAATTCACTTGGCCGAAAAAGGTCAGTTTTTAAAAAATGGATATATTTTTTAAACACTATTTAAAAAAAAAAAAAAACACACACTTTTTGTAAAATAAGAAAGATGATACACCAAGTACACAGATATCCAAAATGTCATGATTTAAAATTGCAAGTGTACAACCCAAACGGACACGTTCCTGCGTTAAATATGGCGGTGTGTATAAGTGGGTGCTGCAGCGACCGTCGGCTGGTATCAAACAGAATCAGCAAGGGAGAATGTCACCAGCACACCGAGGATCACCATTATGGATCCAAAGGTTTTAATGAACTATCACAGTTACAGCAAGGCAACGTTTCGGAGTCTCGCAGGACCCCTTCATCAGGCATGTGGTGATCCTCCAGCGTGCGGTCCAACGCCCATCTTCCGAGACAAAAACACACGGCGGCCCGGCTTCCTCCATCTACAGTCTTCCCTAGCGCGCGGACCACAGCAAACCCAGCGAGGACTTGGATACCATTCGACTATACTGACAAGCTTCTTTTACACTTTTACCATGCGAGTGTTTTTACATTGTTCCTGAATAAATGTTCCTTATACTGCACTTAGATGCGCTTTTCTTCTTCTTTTGTGTCTTCACCCAGAGCCTGCTACAGCCTCAACAGCTTGCCCTGTGCTATATGGACTCTCATATATTGGACTTGATCATGTAGTTTTACTTTGTTCCTTGACATTAGGATTTGGGGAATGTGTTTGCGGTGATTTATTTGTTCTTGGTCTTTAGCTCGATGTATTTAGGCACTTGGACATGGTGAAGACAACTTGCTGAAGTTCAAACCAAGCATCGGAATGGGACAGGAAGGAGATTTAAGCGACTTTGAATGTGGCATGGTTGTTGGTGCCAGACGGGCTGTCTGAGTATTTCAAAAACGGCTGATCTACTGGGATTTTCACACACAACCACCTCTAGGGTTTACATAGAATGGTCCAAATAAAGAGACAATATTCACTGAGTGGCAGTTGTGTGGACGAAAATGCTTTGTTGATGTTAGAGGAAAATGGGCAGACTGGTTCGAGATGACAGAAAGGCAACAGTAACTCATGTCAATATGGACCAAAATCTGTGAGGAATGCTTCTAACACATTTTTTAATCTATGCCACGATGAATTAACCACTTGCCGCCCTGCCACTGTATATATACGTGTGCAGGGCGGCACTCAGGCGCAAAACCACGTTTTAAAACGGGTTCCACGCTCCCCGCCGTTCTCGCCAGCAGGGGGCGCGCGCTCCCGCCGACCCACGGGTGACACCATTGCGATCCCAGAGGGATCAATCATTAGATTTCAGCCAGTGATGTCTGGCTGAAATCAGATGATCGGTCCCTGTCCTATCCTGTCCTGTGTTGACACTGTCACCAGTGTCACTGATCAGTGAACCGATTTTTATTGATCACTGTATCAGTGTCGCTGGCGACTTCCGATAGTGTTAGCGCCCCTCCCAGATAGCGCCAGATTGCCCGCTAATACACCAATAATCCCATCTAACCCCTTAATCTCCCCCCCCCCCCCAGTTAACCCCTTCACTGCCCTGTCACCAATGTCATTGATTACAGTGAACAGATTTTTACTGATCACTGTATTAGTGTCACTGGTGACTTCCGATAGTGTTAGCGCTCCTCCCAGATAGCGCCAGTTTGCCCGCTAATGCACGGGATTTTTTTTTACCAAAAACTTGGAGCAGAATACATTTTGGCTTAAATTTATGACTAACTTTGAGTTTACGATATATTTTTTATAGCTGAAAGTAGAAATACTGTTTTTTCAAAATTTTCGTGGTTTTTTTTGTTTATAGCGCAAAAAATAAAAAGCGCACAGGTGATAAAATACCACCAAAAGAAAGCTCTATTTGTGTGAAAAAAAGGACGTAAATTTTGTTTGGGTACAGCATTGCATGACCGCGCAATTATCATTTGAATTAGTGCAGCGCCAAACAGCAAAAAAAAGGCCTGGTCATTAAGGGGGGGTAAATCCTCTGGAGGGCAAGTGGTTAAGGCAGTTCTGAAGGCAAATGGGGGTCTAGCCCGTTACCAGCAAGGTGTACCTAATCAAGTTCCCAGTGAGCGTAGATGCTGGGGGTATTTTCCTGACACTCAGACCTGAAGATAAGTTACAAACCATCCACAACATTACAGAACAAGACTAACTGTGACTAGCTATACCATGACTTGGATAAAATGAAATCTTCACAGAGATATCTTTGACACCTTCATGCTGCTTCTACCAAAATGACAACAATAGCTTGTCAAATACAAGCTTTTCCTGACCACACAAAAGCATGCATTCTCGTAGGTGTTCGCTTAGCCGCAAATGACAGAATTCCCTTCCTGTTATAAAAACTAAAAAGGGGGCTTTTCACTTAAAACAGAAAGCTGACATCGGCCTGGTACTTCTCACTTCCTGGACATTCATACCAAGGAGGACGTACTAAAATCAGCAGATGGAAAAACTGTAGACACGTGCAGGGTTACTACCTGGATAGAAGGGGCCCAAATGTGGACCCAGACATAACCAACAGTCCACCCATAATATACAGTATAAATGGTTAACTCACGTTGGCAGCTCAGGACAGTCTGCAAGAGAGTAGGGACTGGTCAGAGAGGGATCGCTATGACAGTTGGCCAGCTTCAACATGTATTGCAATATATGCCAACTAAGAATCCCCCTTTTTCTAAACATTAGTTTGCTATGAACATGTAAAAGGTTAACCACTTCCCGACCGGCCGTTGTATATAAACGGCCGGACGGTGGCACTGCAGGGTCGGGTGGCCGTTTATAAACGGCCTCCCCGCACCCTGCTTGTGCGCGCTCCCTGGGAGCGCGCAGCATCGCGATCCGGTGCCCGCTGTGTCCTCCGGACACAGTGAAACACCGATCGTCGGACGGGACCTCTGTACGAGGTCCCGATCAATGTGATCACTGATTGGCCAATCAGTGATCACATGCAAAGTAGTAAGCAAGATGTCACTTCTGACATCATTGCTTACTACGTGTGAAATCTGTGAATGATCACAGAGGTCACATGGTACAAGGCTATTCACAACAGCCTTGTACCATGTGACAAGCTGTGACCAATCACAGCTCACTCAGTACTTCTCAATGAGTGCAAGAATGCACAGAGAGAGAAAGAGAAATGATTGCTTTTACATCCTATATGGGTGTAAAAGCAATCAGTGTAAAAAAAAAAAAAATCTTCATCACCCCCCACAAGTAGTACAGTGTCACCATGGTGACACTGTACTGCTAGGGTGACAGTATGTAAAAAATAAAAATAAAAAAAATAAAAAAAATAAAATAAAAATGTAAAAAAAATATGTTTCAAAATTATAATTTTTGGTTATAAACTAATTTGGATTTTTTTTTTTTTTACTAAAAAGATAACGGAATAAATTGTGGCTAAGGTTTATGATGAAATATTATTTATTTGCAAAATTTTATAAAAAAAACACTTTTCAAAATTTTTGGACATTTCATTTACATAGCAAAAAAAATACAAATCCCAGTGATGAATAAATACCACCA